TCAGTTCAGCTGGGATGGATGGAGCTGTCTCCACTGAAGGCAGCAGAGAATTTTGCCCAGGGGCTCTGCTGTGGTGTTTTAATATCCTAACCCAGAGGGGTGACATGTGGGTACGGCAGGCAAAGCTGGATGAGACAGGAGTGGCTTGGTGGAGAACAGCCCCAGAGAAAACTGTCACAAAGTGGCATCATACCCTCCACCTGCCGCAGGGCATCAGAGTTGCCCAGGGAGCGGGCTGGGCAGTTCAGGAGGGCGGGAGGGAAGGGCTGGTTTCAAAGGAAAGCGATGGTGACACCTTGTGTGCAAGTCTCCTGGCTCAGGGCGGGATGCTGGCAGGCCACGTGGCAGGTAGGGCTTTCCCACACCCAGCACGTGCTGTCTTTGCAGCTGGCACAGGCGAGAGCTGCGAACATCTGGAGCATCCAGCGATACTCAGTCCGGGGGGAGCCAAAGGGTTTAATGAAGCAATCTGTGTACGTAGGCCTTGCTTCTGTGAGTGCTAATGCGCTGGCTTGCCTAGAAGGCCGTTTCCCTTCAAAATAACAGCTGAGCTGCTAGTGTTCCAGGGGGCAGGTCCAAGCTGACACGGGAGTGACCCCTCCCATCTGGCTTTCCGATAGAAAACCAAGGCTCTGACTTCGGGATCGTTACAGAGTGCCGGACGCCTTTAACCGTGAATCCCAGTTCTGCCATGGGGAACTACACGCTGTGCGGACGTCTCCCGGCCACTTGAATCAGAGACATAATTCGGCATTTTCCCCTTCTGACAACTGCTGCCTAGTGCTGCTGGCACCAAGAGGCTGCTGCTTTCACCCGGGCAGTCTCTGTATTGAAGAACTAAGTGAGTGATCCCCACGGATCCAGCATGGAAATCGCTTTGGGATCCAGCATTACAACCCATAGGCTTGCAAAGGATTCACTTTCCTGTGTCTTCAGAAAAAGGAGCCCTGCAGTCAGAATTTCATGCACCAAATATGCAGTGAGAGGGGACATGTGCTGGGGTAGGGGTGGGGAACCCAAGGCCTGGGAGACAGATGTGGCCCACGGCTTGCTTGGATCCAGCCCCTAAGACTCCCCCCTGCAGTATTGGGGAGACTTTGCTGGCACTCCAGTCCACTGCTGTCCCCCTCCCCCCGCCCGTGGGACTGGAGCACACAAAATCTACTAGCTTGGGGCCCCCTAGGCTCTGGGATGCGAGGGGACAGGGGGAGGGTCTTTCCCCTTCTCATTCGAGGGTCACGTCAGTGAGGGGTTGTTGTTGTTGTTTTGCTTCTCACTCATGTGCAGCCCCCGACTGATTTTTATGTGGGTCAGAGGCCTCTGACCCAAAAAGGATTCCCCAGCTCTGTCCTGGGGAATGAGGGAGCAGGTTGCCAACGCCAAGGGAGCCTCTGATCCCTGTTGAAAGCACACACAGATGAGAGCCCCACGGCAGAATGCTTTGTCTGTCCCAAGGCCCCTTCTATCCCAGGCTTTGCCACCCCCCACCCCGAACCCTCATGCTGACCCCTTGTCCGGATGGCATCCCTCTCTCCACTTATTATGTTGTAATGTTTTCTCTATATCAGGAAAGTTAAACATGGTGGGGGGCAGGGGGCGGTCACCGCTCGTGTGTCTCAGCTGGCCCCAGACCCCTCTGCCGGTCACTTCTCATACCACTCTGCGGGCCTCTCTGCTAGTCTGCCTGCCATTCACCTGGGTGCAGGCACCTGTGTCAGGTATCCCCCGAACCTCTGCGGTGTGTCATATCTCAATCCCCCCTCCTTTGTCTGTTCGTTTGCCTCATCCCCTGTAAGGGTGGCGGGCAGGGGCCCAGCGCATGGTAGACCCTGCTGCAGCTGACACCCCATATAGTGTCAGAAGACAGACACGCTTCCCCCACCTCAGTATGCCCCAGCAGCAATGTGAAGGCGGGCAGGGCCGGGTGGTCTGAGATAGCAGCTCTGTCTCCATGGTCGGATCTGTCCTTGACCTCTCTGCTGCAGCTGCCCAGCAGGGTGTAGTGTTAATGTCCCACAATCCCCCTAGGACCTACACACAACCCAGACAGGAATGAATTGCTGCAACAGCTCTCCTGACTCATCTTAGGACTCACTCCTGCTCATCTGGTGAGGTCAGCAGGGACTGATCTCTCCAGAGCGGAGCCAAAGAGATGTGTCACGTCAGCTGTGAGGCTGCCCAGCAAAATTACACGTAGCCAGCAATGGCAAAAGCCCCAAGGTAACAGCACCAGGTGCTCGCCCGCAATGCACATGCTCTGTGCATTCAGCAGCAGCAAAGTAACCAGCCGGAATAGAAAGTAGCACGTGAAACAGCTGCATGGCGGGAGCTTGCATTCTGCTGCTCTTGGCCTGGCATCGTGTTGGCCTCCATTACTGCCTCCCCCCACCCAAAGCACGGTGGCCAACCCCGAACATTACGAAAAGGAAGAGTCCACCTGTCCCCTACCTCAAAACATGAAACTGGCTTAAAAAATCACAAGTTAAAAAAAACCAACACTTTTTTTGTTTGTATTTTTCTTTGCCTCCTGAGTCTGTGGAGTTACTTTTGGGTCACATTTTTCAAGCTTTTCTCCCCAGCCAGGGCTTTTCAAATGGAAGCAGCTGAGATCCTGCTGCCATCTCATGACTCCTGAAGCAAAACACTAAACACAGCGAGATTTGAGCTCAAAGCATCACAGCCAGGAACACTGCCCAGGGCACCACAGTGAAGGAGCAATGGAATTATGTCAGCACCAAGCTGAAGCAATGGAGGCCCCTTCTTTGTGTGTGGTTTTAACTCTGCTGCACAAAGGCGGGTTCGCTGAATTAGGTTTTTTGCTTTTTAAAAGACGAAAAAGACAGCACTCCCAGTTCGGTGGCGGATACAGACTCCCATCTTTGTAGCAGGTGTGTTCTTGGGAGGACTCTGTGCCGAGAACCGGAGGTGTGGAGGTCTCACACTCAGCACCCGTAGGTTGAGACCTCGATCCGGAATGCAGATCTGTGTGGCAATCACGTGCACATGCATAGAACTCTGAGTGGGCACAAGATTGACGAGCGGAGTTGATTTAAGGACACTTCCCATAATTTATGCTAAGGGTTTGTCTACACAGGGAAGTAGCCTGGACTGGCTAGGGTGGGGAAGTTTTTGCTCTTTGTATTCACACCCTTTCTTATTTCCCAGTAGCTCCCCCCATGTAGACCAACCCCATGTAGAAGATTAAGGGGGGACATGATAGCGGTTTTCAAATATCTAAAAGGGTGTCACAAGGAGGAAGGAGAAAATTTGTTCCTCTTGGTTTCTGAGGACAGGACAAGGAGTAATGGGCTTAAAGTGCAGCAAGGGAGGTTTAGATTGGACATTAGGAAAAAAATCCTAACTGTCAGGGTGGTCAAATATTGGAATAAATTGCCAAGGGAGGTGGTGGAATCTCCCTCTCTGGAGATATTTAAGAACAGGTTAGATAGACATCTGTCAGGGATGGTGTAGTCAGAGCTTGGTCCTGCCTTGAGGGCGGGGGGCTGGACTCGATGACCTCTCAAGGTCCCTTTCAGTCCTATGATTCTATGAACCCATTGTGTGCAGGTTTCAGACTTTCTGGTCTTTGCTAAATACAAACCGGGGCCCATATTTTCAAAAGTAGCTAGTGAGTTTTGGGTGCCCAATTGGAGAGCCTTTAAAAGGGCAGATTTTCACAGTGCTGGGCACAGACTCATTTGTGGTGTTGAGACTGGGGACCCTTAAAATCAAGGCACCCCAAATGTGAGAGACACAGGTTTAAAACACAGGCGCCTTTTTGCCAGACCAAGCCAGGCCTTTCGTCCTCAGTAACATTCATGACACGTGTCCAGTTAGGAACTGGGTGTTTTGTTTTTCTTTGCACCACCCCCATCCTTGTCCTGAATTTTGGAGTTTGGTTTAATTAGAGGAAATACGTAGCACTGTGCTAGGGGTAGTCACAGCTCATGTAATCAGATTATGCATTTATCCTAAATACTCCCGTCTGCATCTTAATTGTAGATTAACACCCTCAAGCCACAATCACAGAAAGAAGCCAGTGTTCTCAGCCCAACTAATTTGGGATTTACTGGTAAAAATAAGATTTACGGGAAACATGACACCTAACAAAGCGCGTGCGCTAAACTCAGATCTTTAGTAGGGTGTTCTGCTTTTTGGTTTGTGTCTGATACTGTTTATGGCAGTCCTGGGACTGAGGAAGGAACTAGAAAAGGCTGATTTTAGCTACTTGGTGGAGTCCCCCCCCCCATACTCTCTCTGAATAGTGCTCAATCATTTCTGCCCCCGAACTTTTCACCCCGTGTACAAGGGCTCTCAACAGCTACCAGGATGTGCAGTTATGGGGCTGCCCCTAGATTCTGTAACACATTGGGGTGCTTTCCTTGTGTAATACTGTAAAGCCCCCTTGCCCCAGGCTTTTTTTGCTTCTCACTTGGGAACTGGGGACTGGTTTGGTTTGGGTTTTACTTTTTATTTGCGATTTTTCTGTGGGTGAGGGGCCCCTGACTGTAAAAAGGTTCCCCACCCCTGCATGCAGGGATTTAGTCATTGCTCCCCTCTGCTCGGGGTTTATTCTCCCAGTGCGATACCCTTCCTCTCCGCAAACACCCTCACCGCCTGTACTATCGAGTTTGTCACCCTTTCTGTCACGCACCCCACCCTCCAGGATTCTACTTTCTTCCACAAATTCCTCCAGAAACACCCAAGTTAAATACTCATGAGCCTCCGGCCTAGAAGCCCCCTTGTGGCCTGCGCTGGCCCCGTCTGCAGGTCCCCGAGCAATCGCTCGAGGCGGCGTGTGTCTATTTTCAGCCGGACACACAACATTCTTTCCGGTACGAACGTTCCATCCCATTCACAGGAAACCCCCTTTCGGCTGCCGCTTCTTGACAGGCTGCTAGGCGGGCCCCCGTGAGCGGCCTCTCTGATTGGCCTAGAGCGAAGGAGGGGGCGTGGCCGAACGCATAAAACTTGGCGCGCCTGTCAAGAGCACTCTTAGAACCAATTTAGTCGGTTTCATATTGTGAGCGTCTGTTTGTACCTCCAGAAGAGAAGAGCCTTTTTTCAGCCGATCATCATGGCCTCAGAGAACGCGAACAATGCAGGTTGGTGCTTCCTCCTTCTGTATTGACTTCCTCCCTTTCTACTGTTATTACAGATCACAGAAATGCTAATAGGTTTCTATTCATTAATACATTTGAAAACTTCTACTGACCTGTTCTGGCTGTTTTGTGACAAACCTCTTAGCGCTTTTGTATGTGTAACCTGCCATGTCCCCTTAGAGATCCCAACTCTTTAAAAGGGCTCAACTCGAAGAGGTTTGTGCATGGGTTTGAATGCTATAGTACGAATTAGCTGTATCCTTACCTCTGATTTTCTTAAGGGGGAGAAATAATTATTCAGTGTGTCTGTATTTTTAAAAGACCTTTCCTCACCCTCGCTTGCAAAACTTTTCTCTATTCAGTATAATTTGTTGCCATAGAGTGTTTGTTTTTTTTTAAATCGCAATAGTGCATCATCCTAAATGCAAAATACAGGACTATGTAGCACTTTAAAGACTAACAAGATGGTTTATTAGATGATGAGCTTTTGTGGGCCAGACCCACTCCACGAAAGCTCATCATCTAATAAACCATCTTGTTAGTCTTTAAAGTGCTACATAGTCCTGTATTTTGCTTCAGCTACACCAGACTAACACGGCTACATTTCTATTATCATCCTAAATGGTGCAAAATAACCAAAAATGTTTAAGAAAACAATTAATATCATAATTATTTCTATCCCCTCTTAATACAAATCCAGTCTGTAGTGTTTATTTGCTCTTCGCCTAAAACCTGATCAGAGGAAAAAGCTGGAAAGCTGCTGCTTTGTTTTTAAGCCAGCTCTTTCATCTCCTAATATTAGAGGGAAAGGTGCTTATCTTAGATATACATATTGCATGTGTCTTTCCTTTGCTTGGGTACCCCGTCAATGAAAAAGGAATGCCTAACCTTTGCCTCAAGTAATCCTTGACATATTTTAAAAATAAAGTGACACAAATAGACTCTCCTCTATAATTAACATAAATCATCATAGCAGCAACTAAAAACATCCCTCTGATCTTTATGGTCTGGCAGGAGTGTCCTTCCTGTGTCTCGCAGCCCCAGAAAACAAACGAGCCTGTACTTAGCCCAATTTTTGAAAGAAAAGAAATAGACATGTTCCCAAAAGTCCTAATCTACTGGTTTGTTTTGAAGAGAGAGCGCTTTTCTAGAAACTATACCTGTGTGAATACCTCCTTACCCCCCCTCAAAAAAGCTTAATCAATAATAAAAATCTCCCTGGTTTGTAAAACTGATCTGGAACCACCCATTCCAAAATGTTGAGAATTGCATCCTGCTTTCATGATGTTTAAAAATACCAGCAACTCTTCATAATTATTAAAGATTCACTTTTAAATAACTGACTTCAAGTAACATTTCTCCTTGTGCAATTGGAATAAATAAATAAAATCAACAACTCCAAAGCCCAGAGAGCTTTATCCAACCCGTTACGCTGTTCCATGAAGTTAGGGTGAGTTGTTTTCTGGATCTTGCTCCCTGTCGCTTCATGTTTCTTAAGAGCCAGTGTCTGTGTGGAACTATTTTTACTGTTTTGGGCTAGAATTTTGGGGCCTGATCTGGAGTTCATTGCACTGACTTTCTACTTCTTCTGGGGAATGCTAAAGGATGGGTAGTTGCTCTTGGTGATTTGTGCCCATGCATGCAGGGAGCCGTATCCGTGCACAGCCAGGTTTGGCTAACCCCCCCCCCACCATCCCTCAACCCACCTCGCTTTTTTTTTTTTCACTCAATGGTATACTGTGGGGAGCTGACCATTTGGGGCTGGTCAGTTTCCATACTTAAATTGTGTAAAAGAAGCAGCTGCAGCATTGAACCACAAACCCATAGCTCCTCTTTCACGAGCAGCCTCCAGTTTTAACCCTGTCTCCTTGCAAGGCTGTGGGGAAAACCCCGCCCTGGGCTCTCACTCCTGTGTACGGTTTGCTAACCATCAACTATCCCAAGCAACAACTTCTCTTGTGCAGCTTTCTGCCCACAAAGCATATCTGCATAGCATTTCTGCCCAGAAGAGTCAATCCATATTGTACTATGGAAGGGAGAAAGGGAGCCTGCTTGACTGAAGATTAGAGAAATGTTCTAATGTTTTCCCCCTCCAAGCTGTGGTACGAACCGCAAGGCAAGCTATTTACCAGGGGCTCTCGGAGCCAGGATCCCTCACTCGGAACATGCTTTTGCAGCACAGTTCTACCTCCACTAGCTATGCGCTGTAACTAAAAACAGTTGCTGGTCTAGAGAAGCCGCATTATGTATGTTTCCTGCCATCTGCAGATAACCTGTGGGCCGTTACACTCATTCTTAAAATGGGACAGGGAGAGTAACCATGATCTGTTACTCATGCACGCACCCCCGCACGTGCCTGTGCACACCCACACAGAAGTCTAGCCTTGTGACATTCTGTTGATTATCTTGTCTGCACTTGTGTTTGCATGTGGCTTTAATTGTGAGCAGCAAACGCAATGGGAGGAAACGAGAATTCTTAGATCTTTCTGAAAGCTACACCGGGGGAGCCAGGTTAAGACTGCAATGTTAAAAATAACAAGTAGTACTTTAGAGACATGTATTCGCTCATGAGCTTTCATCAGATGATGAAGTGGGTTTGACCCATGAAAGCTCATCACCCCATATGTGTCCGTCTCTAGGGTACCACAGGACTGTGCATTGTTTCTGAGAGCTGTTATTTGTGGGTGAGCACTGTCCTCTGAAAGTGCTACTCTACACAAACACCCCTGAATTCACAAAGTCAGGGCCAGACCCCAGCTAAGTTAAATCAGAGTAAGAAATGTGGAAATAAACCAGCACTGATGAAAACCGCGCTTAGTTGGTGGATCCCAAAGCCCGTGTCAGGTCTCTCTTCAGAACAATCATTTTTATGATTTTTTTTTTTAGTCTCTTCTCATGAAAACCTCAGAGGAAATGAGTGCAAACAATAGGCGCTTGGTGCGATTATTGAACTTGAAACTGGCAGCAAGGCGGCTGCCTTTAAAGGAGCAGATGGCTTTCCATCTTGACCTTGCTTGAATCCCCAGAGTATTGCAGGGGGTCTCCAAGTCCCACAGGACAGCACGTTCCAGACATTGTCTCCTCCCGACTCTGACAAGCTTTTCCTTGCTCCAGTCGGCTTGCGTCATAGCCTTTGGGCCCCATAAACACGTTCTATTGTGTGCTGTGGAGGACGCAAGGTAAACAGACAGAGCTTTCAATGGTCTTTTGGAGATCACAGCGCTAATGTTTATCTTGCCAACTCTTTGAAGCTTAAGATCTGATTTTCAGAGTGGTGCGGGTGTGGTCCAAAGAACACTACACTCTTCTCTAGGATTAGCCTCATCCTTTCCCTCCAGAAGAGGCTAATTCTAGAGAAAAGGTGGCTTTGATCAAGGCACTGAATTGGGATTTTGGAGACCACAGTTGTGTTCCAGCCTCTGTCCCACCAGCCTCTCGTGGGGCCTCTGAGATGTCACATGGTCTCTCTGGGCCTTGTTTCTCCTTCTGTAACTTGGGTGTGTCCATGCTGTCCTGGGCGGTGTTGTGAGAACAGATCCATCGGGCGATCAGCTACCCAGGTTTCCAGCAGCTCTGTTTGTGAGCCAGCCAGGTGCTATGGGGTGGGCCTGTCTCCATGCCTAGACAGCTGGTGAGACCGACCCCACCCTCCAGGAGAGCAGAACCTGGCCCTGACTTGGTGGGGAGTGGTGGCTTGTCAGTGCGCTGAAGGGGGCCTCGCTTGCCTTTCTGCGGGGGAGCTGCACTTTCCGCGAGTCTGTGAAGTTGCTGCTTTTATTCCCCAGCCGCCTCGGGGTGGAAGTTTCCCCAGGCAGCTGCGTGGGGTGGGGGAAGGGCTAGGTGGCTCCCTGCGGGAACTCTCCTGAAGGCGGTGGAGTTACCCCCGGGAGGACTCTGGCCCATTGGCACAGCCAGTCACATCCTCAATCACAGCGCGGCTGCAAACCGCCAAGCACCGAAGCGTCTGCTTCCATTGAAGCCCATGGTGGCAGCGGTGACGTGCTCCCAGGTGCTGGGCCCCTTCTTGCTGGTGGCGCTGCAGAAGCAACCTGCTCGCTCCTCGGGGGGAAGTACCTTGCAGCAGCCTCCTAGCCAGCTAAGGAGCAGCACTGCTGGCTCTCCCACGGCCCCCCCTTCGCCAGAGGCCTGGTGCCCCTGCAGGCGGGTGGTGCGAGGCTGACGATCCGAGGGGCTGGGGAAGCATGGGCTGGCCTGTTGCCGAAACTGGTGGCCGGGGGTCTGCTCAGACCACCCTGCAGCACATCTGCTCTGCCCCGCGGCTGCTCTGCCCCGCTGTTTCCCCCTCCAGAACGGGCAGCGCTACCGTCCCGCCACGTAGCGCTACAGCAAGGGCGTCCAATGCTAGCGGAGACTCTGCCAAGCGTAGTTCTATTCCTTGGTTGGGGTGGCGTGTGAGACTTGGTCCTGGAAACTCACTTGGCTCCTGGGGAATAAATACAGGGCCCTTGCAAAGTCCTAGCAACGCTTCCTCCACAGAGTTACATCCCTTGATTCCACCAGCCCTGCCCCCCGCACCATTCAAAGGACTCCGATGAACTGGCATGGACCCGTTCCCATCTCGCCTCGGCGTCCACGGGGAGTCACTACTGAAACTGCTGGGGGAAAGGCACATGCGAGCTCAGAACTGGGCCCGGTCTCTGGGCCAGACCCTCTGTGCTGCACCCGGGCATCCGCACCATACGAATCATTCTGGAGGCGGAGCCCTTGTGTCCTCAGGACACACGCCTTCAAGCGAGTGGCTGCATAGTGATGGACTGGCCAACGTGTCCTGACCAGCCAATCACCGGGATCCCTGAGAGCAAGGAGTGGATGAGTATCTGACCCACTAGCCCACGATAGGGAGAACACAATGCGCTGGCTGCTGGGGTGTACGTAGGGGGTGAGGAGGGAGATACCAGGGGTGGATAAATGCAGCGGCTCCTGTGTTCCATTACGGACGCAGCTAAGCGTGGCCGTCCTACAGGAACACTCTTCTATTCTACTGATGCCTTCAAAGTTGCTTTTCTAGTCCTACCCCCCAGACTCAGACCTAGCACCTGACTCTGATCACTCCACAGTGGAGTAACATCCCTGACCTTGGGCTTCTTGTCCGTCCGCTCCCCTCGGTGCTTTGAATTTCCGGTTCTCCCCCAAAATCTGGCCACTGCTGGCCCTGTCTCCCAGGATAACTTCCCTGCTGTTTGTCTTCTCCCCACATCATGTGGTTTCCCAGCAACCCTCTTTGCTCCTTTACCCCTCTTCCCGTCTGATTTGGGTGTTCTCACACCCCACCCCACGGAGAAGCACTCCAGGGTTCTGTGTGTCAGACCGTGTCTGTTGCCTCCGATTGACTCCTGGGCTGTCTGTTGCCTCTTCAGGGCTGGCGGACGACCTCAGCGACCTCCTGAGGGAGTTTGACGAGGTGATCGAGGACTTCGACAAGGGCGAGGTCTGTCAGTATGAGCAGCACCTGGAGGAGCTGAAGAGAAGGATGCTCCCCAGCGTCTACGACAGCGGCATTGAGGAGATAGAAAGTGAGTCGAGGGGGTTGTGTCTGCAGAACAAAACGAGCCCTGCTGTTCCCGGGGGAGTGGTGTTGCGTCCCTAGGGGAGCCCCATTGGAAGGAATGAGGAGAGCTTGGCTCTTGGTCTCTGAGCTTTCTCTGGCCCGTGCGCCTGTGATCTGCTCCCTGATCTTCCAGGATCCTGCATTCCACCCCCGCTCCCAGAATGTGGGGCAGCCCGTTAGCCTGAATTTGGCCTCCCTTGGGCAGGTACATGGCTCCTTCTCCCAGCCGGGCCTTCCAGTGTGCTCAGCTAGTGGGACCCTGGCCCCCTCTCCCAGCTGGGCCTCCCAGCATGCCCAGCTAGTGGGACCCTGGCTCCTTCTCCCAGCTGGGCCTCCCAGCATGCCCAGCTAGCGGGACCCTGCAGCCCAATGAGAGAGCCCTTCAGCTAGTGGGTCCCTGGCTCCTTCTCCCAGCTGGGCCTCCCAGCATGCCCAGCTAGCGGGACCCTGCAGCCCAATGAGAGAGCCCTGGTAGATGCACCATGTCAGCCCCTGTCCCCCCGGGCACCTTTATAATGCACCTGGGGCTAGTTGGTGCCTCGGTGCCGTGACGGATCCTGGCCTCTCCGCAGGTACCAGCACGTCTCCCCGGAGCAGTTTAAACTCCAGCGAGGAAGATCTCAACGTGTCAGCCGGCGCCGCTTGCGCCAAAGGTGAGACCTGGCCGAGCGCCATTCAAAAGCCCTCCCCAAGGGGTACTGTGGGGGATCCGCCTGACAGACCCCTGGCCTTCCAGCTGTCAGTTTTCCTAATCGCCAGCCTGAATTTTCCTTGGCTTAACGTCAGGCCACAGTCCCCTTGTACCCCCTAAACCTCAGCAGCCGGGTGGTTGGGGCAGTGTCCGAACTCATGGGGATAAAGGCTGATGGTGGTTCTGGGGTGACTGCCAGTGTCCCCTATAGAACTGAGACAAGGATTCCGAGATTGGGGGGGTCCCCATGCACGTCTGCCCCACAGGGAAGGGACTGTGGCTTAAGTGTTTGATGCGGTCCTGTGGGGAAGGCCGTGGGAACCCTTGCTCCTCTGGCTCTTCCATCCCTAGCCAGGACCAAGAAACGCCCCCTCGCCCAGATGCTGGCCTCAGAGCAGGGCAGGACTTGGCGCTTCCCAAGTGCTTGTGTGGCTGCTCCGGCAGGGCTGAGGGGATGAGCTGACCGTACGCGCCCCTTCCTGTCATGTCTCCACGCCGGGGTGTTGGGCATTCCCGAGGCCGCGGGCCCTAATGCCGGGCAGAGCCATGTCGGAGCTTTCTCAGGAAGGCTCTGGCTGCTCTGCGAGCCAGGGGTGTGAGTCCTGGCTCCGGGACACACTTAACCCACCTTAAAACGGTGGGTATGGACCAGGCACGGCTCAGCTACCTCTGCAGCAGCGGCCCCGGCTACCGGGCCTACCCTGTCGTGGCTGCATAGAGGCAGCGCCAGTACGTGTCTGCCAGCAGGGGAGTCCCACCCCAGCTCCTAGTGCAGACCCAGCCGAAGACAAGTCCGATGGTGCACGGCTGGAGCAGCCATGGGCAGACGCCGAGGGGGAAGCCCTCTTGTAGCCTGCTCTGGGCCGGGTGTGGCAGGCCGAGCCTCTGACCACGGCTCTTTGTGTCTGTAGCTAAGCTCGGGGACACGCAGGAGCTGGAGGATTTCATTGCCGATCTGGATAAAGTGCTGGAGGGTACGTATGGAGCCGTGGTCTCTGCCACGTTTCCGGGACCGCGGCAAGCCAGAGCCTCTCCCGGGGGCCACAAACGCGGCTTCCTGAACTGCAGCAGCTGACAATCGTCCCTAGGCATGACCGGGTCTGACCCTGCCTCTCCCCTTGCTCCTCACCGCCATCCGGTGCAGGAGCCCTGCCTGTCCTCTGACAGCCATGCCCCACTCCTCCTAGGTCAGGAACTGGACCGGACAGCCTGGGAACCCACAGGCAGGGCTGTCCAGCCTGGGCCCGAGTGTGGTGTCCATGTATCCTGGGTTAGTCTGGCCCAAGGCAGCCCTGGCTGGCAATATAATATACTGTCTCCGGGTGGGATTTGTAATGGCTGCTTAGGTGCCCGAATCCCATAGGGCACTATTTAGCTCCTATGGATCAAGCCTGGGCATCTAACTCCCCCGGGCTTGTTGGACACGCCAGTGGAATCTGGAGATCCCGGGTGAAATCCGGGCCCCATTGGAGGCAGGATATCCCCGGGTTCTCGTCTAGTCTCTTCCACCACGTTGCTGGGGGCTTTGTGTGAATGTCCCCCCCACCCCACATGTGTTCCCCTCTGGTGTGTGGGAATGATGGTGCCTCCCTGCCTAGAGGGAGGTGGCTGGGGGGGCATAGGCAATGGGTAAACCTAGGACTGGGGGAGGCACCCCCCCACCTTGCCT